CTCTGTAAAACCGAGACGAAGCATGTGTTCAACGTAAACCTCATTCAGCTGGATGTGGGAAGGTTCTGTGTACGGCGTCATCACTGAATCATAGCCCGTGTTGAGCCATCGGTCGTTCATTATTGCCTGATAGAGGAGATTAAGTTCAAAATGCCGTATTTTTAAGCCTATTTATACAGTGCTAGATGTAATGAGGGTGAATAAATTCAAATACATCTCGTACTTACGGAAACGCATGGAAGTATGTAAACTGGCCAGCCTACAGTTTACTAACTCCAAGTAAACAAGAAGGCCTATTTTTTCTGTTTTCTCGGCTAAGGTCTGTGTGTGTGCAAAACCGAAACATTGGCACCTTAGAGAAGTAAATGGGGAGACATGAGTAGATTCAAGTTATAAAGTGAAGCCCTCTTACCCGCAAGGAGTAACGATCACGTGGGTCCAAAACAAGCATTTTCTTCAACAGAGCCAACAAGTCGTTAGAGACTTCGCCTCTACCCAGATTGTAGCGCACGGTAAGAATTTTTGTTCGCAATTCACGCAGATCAGTGGCATCGAAAGGTAGATGGCCCACAACCAAAGTAAAAAGAAGCACCCCCATTGACCAGACATCAACTCCAGGACCGTGATACCGAATGCCCTTTATAAAATCGCACAAAACTGTTGAATCAGGTAAAGTAATGACAAAATGGCAGCCGGAATGATACAACATACCAGGAACAATTCGGGGGCGGCATATGGAGGACTACCACAGAAGGTAGAGAGCTTTTGATCAGGGGTGAAGACGTTAGCCAAACCGAAGTCAGCGACCTTAACATTTAGTTGTGAGTCAAGAAGGATGTTTTCAGCTTTGAGATCTCGATGAACGATGTTCCTGGAGTGACAATAGTCAATGGCAGAGACAAGCTGCCGAAACTTGCTCCTAGCCTCCTTCTCATGCATCTTACCATGAGCCACGAGGTAATCAAATATCTCACCTGCACCAAGTAAGAATTTGCATCTATACTGACATACCACCGTTGGCGTATTCCTGTACGAGGCAAATCACTTCATCATTCTCTATTATTTCCAATAATCGAACTAAAATAGAATGAGAGGGATAAATTAACATTACCTATGTTCGGATGATTGAGTTTTTGAAGAATGCTGACCTCTCGCCGCAGCTAAACGGATTACACGTAAGATAATGGGAAAATGACGTACGCGGTCGTTGGCGGCCCAATCTAAACCCTTTTTATTTATTATTTTGATTGCAACCTAAAGCAGTCACTTAAGCACCACATTAATACCTCAACTCCTGTTGCCATGTGTATGGCAAGCTTAACTTTGGCAAAGTTTCCCTTACCGATGGTGCGTACCAATTTGTATTTTCCAACGTTACTTTTCGTGGGTCGGGAAACCGGAAGACCAGCAGTGGGCGGCGAGGCCTCATGACTTTCTCGGATATTGTTCTTCAGCTGTGGAGAGTTAGATGTTTTGTCTTCTTTAGATGAATGAGGTGACAGGTTCTTCTCTTTGGCCGTTTTGCCACCACTGTCCGAGGAATTGACTTTCTCTCTGGGAGAGGTTTTTTTGGTGGACTGGCCGGTATTCTCTTGAACAGTTGCTTCCATTGTAGGATGCATGCACCGGAATCGCAAAGCGACTTAAATGGGACTGGAGCGATTCCCTTCTAGCTGTTCCAAGGTGAACATTTTAATTGGCGATCTGAGTGTGCTTAAAAATCGCGCTTTCTAAGGACGGTGGTTGCTGCAGCATAAGCGAAACAGTAAAATGCTTTAAATCACTTACTTTGCAGAATCAAGAGTTCATTGGCAAGGGATCTGTTTTTTCTCTTTATTCTGCGGTTGTCACAGTTACATTAATTGAACTATAATGGTTGAAGTTAAAATATTTTCCCAAAATGTCAAAATATTGCTATTGGAAAAAGCCGCACCATCACAGTTCTGCCCAAATAAGTGTTCCTCACTGTGCCAACTCATTTATT